CCTACAACGTGATGGCAGAGGCCATGCATGAGAGTTGCAGTTTGTCTTTCCATTGACTAAAGGGAGCTGCTTGGAGAACATATAGGTGTTGAAGCAAGGGGTCGAAAGGGGTGAGGAAGCGACGAAGAGTCCAGAGAGACTTAGCTACCCAAAATCAAGCATTAGTTAGAATAGAGGTGGACTCGGAGGAGTGTCACAGAGACATATCTACTGATCGTGAAGAAAAGGGATGCAGATGCGAGGCGACGGATAGTAGGACCATGAGCATGGCAGTGCTATGGTACTACAGAGGCGGGACTTCCGTGAAAGTCATTGATCCCTTGCTCTCATGGAGGGAGAGTGCTTGGTCGTGAAAGGGACCGAGGAGGTGGAGTATGCAGAGGCAAACTCCAAGTACCGAGACAAGGCTGAAGGGCAAAGGCCAAGGAACTTCGTAAGACCGGTGTCAATGAGCTTATCATCAAGATAGCCAAAAGTAAAGGACTTCGGGTCATGCAAGAGTGCACGACCAAGGAACGAAGTAGGCAGTATGCGGTGCTGTACCTTTGCTACTTAGGGGAGTAGGCGGTAAGGTTGATGGAGAAGATGGTATAATCCCAAAGGTAGCCAAATCTATTAGATAATTACTCCAAGTTGGGGTGAAAACTTCCTACATTCCAGAAGTTCATTGGCATTGAGAAGGTGAATCACAGTAACTAACTCAACGCAAGGAGTGCAAACACTTCAAGTGCTTCAGAAGTGTGAGTAAAGAGTAGGCGAAGGCCAGTAACCAACTCGATGCATGGAGTACAACCTCGAGGAGACGGGCGAAGTCAAGTAAACTTTGCCTTCTCAACTCTTAAGAGAATGGGCGAAATTGAGTACCCCAATTCTCTTATCTATTCAGTATAGGAGCTCTATATATGTTCAAAAGAACATTCGAAGATAATGGAAGACAATAGTTGTCAAATCCTCACCAACGGTGATCAATGTTACTGAGAGTAGATTGTCCGCTTCATTTCCCAATGAAATGCTAATCGAAAGCGGAAGTGATGCGAACCTACTTGGATGTGACAACTAAGTGAAAGAAAAGTCAATGAGCAAATTTTGTGGAGGAAGGACCCAAAACTTCAGAAGTTTAGGAGACGATGCTTGTTAAAGCTCCAACAAGCATCCACCCAGTTCAAGCAATATGAGGCATTTGAGAGACTAGCGTATAGTAAGGATGGTCTTTTCCTTCATCTGGAGGATCCGCAGGAACCAACAGGGATGAACACAACTCAACCAACCCCACACTAGAGTCAGAGTCATTGGCGAGTTCAAGCAGCATGGCGGATCAAAGGTTCGACTACTCAAAAACAGCAACGGAGAGCAGCTGGGAGCCAAGAGGCGCATTGTAGCTGAAGCAGAAGATTGAAGACTCAACAAAGGTGAGGAGTTGCAGTGTCGACAAAGGCTTCGACGAGGATGTCGAAGGAATAAGTGGGGGAGAATGTCATAGACAAGCTTCTAAACAGGATGTTTGATGTAATGCTTATGTATATCCGTGTCTTTTGGTATGTTCATGCTCTGCACAACATGTAGAGGGATGGCTGAAGGCTTAATAGTCCTATTTTAATTAAGTTGGTGGCCGCTTTAGGCTTGTAAATAAAGGTTGTATCATGTGGACACGTGTGAGAGATTCTCGGTCTATAATGGACCATTTTGACCCTTTGTTGTGCAACTATTCAGAGCTTGTAAAGTCTGTTTGTAATTTGCATTGTCTATGAAGTGTTTTCGAAAATGTTTGCTTGTGGATCCCGAGTGAGGCGTTTTCTCTAACCCGTTTTCTCTTTCGTGGGTCCTTAGGGACCATAGGAGGCTTCGGGGAGGCTGACCTTTGCGGACGGACACGCAAGGGTGCTGCACGACTTAGGTAAAACCAGCATAAGTCCGTGACAGAGAGGCACAAAACAAAATATGTCTAAGTTATATAAGTTGGAAATTTTTGATCCCGATAAGAAGAAACCTACTAATGGTCCAAAAAATCTGTCAGATGAGAATAAGTCTGTCACGACCGATTAAGCTTTATTAATGTTTGTTTCGGGATGAGATGCAATGGGATTACTTTTAACTCCAAATCAAATATATAATCTAGGAATCGAAAGAGTTGAATTATATACATACTAAAGTTATATGAAGTAGATGGAAAGAAACTAAACGAGTAAAAGAGATGAAACACTATTATGACCTATAAATTTGTTGCCTATATTGATGTTTGTAAACCTATAAATTTGTTCATAATTTATTTTAAAACTATTATGGCCGATTATAAAATGTTGTCTCGTAACCATTACCAAGTTACTAAATATTCTAAGACAACACCAATCACACCAACACCTCAACATGCATCGACAAAATCATACAGGCCATTGTCACAAGCACGCTCAAGACACTTGTTTTCCTCAGTACATACGAGCGCCGGGATGATACTGATACTGCTGCTGCTGCAGCTTGGCCAACGCAAGCTGCCCTTGCATCCCATCCTTCGCATACTGCTGCCACACCCGCTGCTCCTCCGTCAGCAGATGCTGCTTCTTCTCCATGTCCGACATCTGAACATAAGACGGCGGCGGCACCATCAACGAGGCCGCGAAGGGGTCGCCCCCGCCGCCGTATGTTGCACCATCAACCGCCGGCGCAGGCAAAGCCAGCATCGGCTTCGCTGGCGGCGCGTGGACCACCACGCTACTCGCGCTCCCGCTGCTAGCGCATCCGTACCCCGCGGTGGCCTGCGCCTTGGTGTACATTCCGTCGAGCAACATCATGTCGAAGCCACCGCCGAGCGAGGCCTTCTGGCCCGATAGGTTGCTCGCCGTTTCCACCAACGCCATCTCCCAGTTGGACGAGTCGCCGTTCGGGAACGCCTCGCATTTAGGCGCTGCGTCGGATGACATGTGCCGGTCGAACAATGCCAGCGCCAGCATATTCCCGTGTTCTTCCCCGGTCATCGCGTCTTCCTTCAGGTTCAACAAGTCCACCTCCTCTTCTTCCTTTTCCTCCTCCTTGTCTACCTTGACCTCCGCGACCGCTTGCTCCTGCTGCGTAGCCTCCGCGTCGGCCTCCGGTGCGGGTAAAGTTTTGATGCTGTTCATCTCGTACTCGGGTTCGTCGTCCTCGGGCGGCGCGTCCTCGTGGTGGGGGGGTCGCGGTCCGCCTCGAGGCTGCGCTGCTCCTTGGCGTGGGCGAGGGCGGCCTTGTCGCGGATGAACTCGTCCATGACGTCCAGCTTTTTGGGGCTGATGCGCTCGACCTCGGGGTACTCGGAGGAGCGGCAGACGCCGGCGGACTTGGACCAGCCGTAGAAGAGGTCGAGCTCGTCGAACTGCTTGGCGAGGCGGGAGAAAATTTCGTGGATGCAGACGCACTCGGGGACCTCGAGGTCCATGAAGCGGTCGATGAAGATGTTCATGATCTCGGTAAGGTCGTAGTAGATTTGGAAGCTCTCTTTCACCAGGGGGTAAAGAGCCACGGCCACGATGCGGTCGTGCTTCGCTGCACCTGTATGCGTGTATTCCGCTTAACACCCACACGATATGCATTTACGACTCGATTCAATTCTGCCTTCATCGATCGGCCTGTGTGATAACGATGCCATCACCTGTAGGTCGACAAGCGAGGAACCGCTCCAGCATGTGCTGCAGGTGCCGCGTCCGGGCAAAGATACGGTCGGTCGTCATCTCCCTCACCGGCGTGGCCTTGGATGATGTCGCCGCAGCGGCAGCCGCCTCCTCCTCCTCATCGTCGTTGATGTTGCTCCTGCTGCCGCGGCGCTTGCGGCGGCCGTGCATCCTGTAGTCCAGCCGCTCGTCCAAGTAGAGCGCGTAGGTCCTCACGAAGGAGGAGAAGTCCCAGGCGTCGGCGCCGGAGTTGTCCCTGAAGTCGGACATGTTGAGCATCCGCGTGCCGCGGCGCGTGGCGAAGAAGATCTCCTGCTCGTAGGCGGGGTCGCCCTCCGTGAGCAGGCGGTGGATGAGGATGAGGGTCTTGAGGGCCACCGTCCAGCTCTGGGTCTTGCCCAGCCGCCGCGACAGCGACGACACGCACGCGCCCACGTACGCCCGGGAGTAGCACGTCAGGCTCAGGATCTCGCGGATGTGCTTCTCCTCCGCCGGGAACTCGTCGTGCCGCGTCGCCTTCACGATGGCCACGTCCAATTCCGACAACATGGTGCTGTTGCTCACTTTCGCCAACCCGATGCTCGTCTGGTCCTTCACCGCCCCTAGTGCCTTGCGGATGGTGCTCGGCGCCATTTGTAGCTTCTCCCTGGATATGTTCCCACCACTTGTATCCTACAGACTACGTAGGTCGAACAAATCAAATCAAATCAAATATATATATCTATAGATAAGCAGAGATGAGAGATGAGATTTGCGTACTTTGCCGGGGCTGGGAGACGCATGGGAGAAGGGAGGAGACGAGATCAGCAGAGATGAGGGGAGAGAGATTGGCTTGAGTTGGCTGATCTCGCCTCCCTTCTTCTGCCTCGGGCTCTTCATCGCGGTAGCCATTACAAAGGATTTGTATGAGAGTTGTGAGCCGTGGAAGCCGCACCAAAGTAGGAGCCGGGATCGGGGACGGGGAGGACCGTTGCTTGGTACGTCTTTAATTATCTTTTGGTCTTTGACGGGTCGTTGTGTCGGGCCACCAGTCAATTGGCATTTGATCGAACACCGAAAGGAGGACGACGGGCCAATCGTCTGACTTGGGAGGAGGAGGGCAAACTCGCCTTTGCGGATGCAGGCGTCGGAACGACATGCGGGAAAGATCTAAATTGCTTCTACCTGCAGCATATAGTAACTGAAAAATACATTGCTCGATGCTAAACTTTCAAGACGAAACGAAAATTTAGTACATCCATGCAACCATAACAGTGAACTCAGATACCGTAGGAAGGAAGATAAAGCATTGATTCAAAAGTTATAGACTCGTCTTTTTTGTCATTAAATAACAGAGCCTAGCAGTGATACACTTCAGTTCAAGGCCTCGTTTCCAAGGCCTGCGTCTTGCAAGTGCAGAGGCCTGATACATACAACAAATGCAGTGAGCGACACTCCGGTCGATCACCGTAAGAAGATCATGAAGTGACATCTTGAAGGAATACACGACCATCACAAACAAATAGATTGCAAAGAACTGAATCCACAATGGCATGGATCAACTTCCACTGGATTCCGAAGGTCCTAGGTCAGTTTCTGCAGAGGCAAGCAACCAGTTCCTTCTCTGTCCAAGTGTTCAAATGTATCTAGAAACACACAGAAATATTGTAATGATCATCTCTTATGGGCAGAACACGGAACACTCTTTTCTTTCCTTTTCTCCGTAAGCTTTCTCGGCAACTATAGGCACGTGACTTTGACAAGATATGATTTTCTATGGTTGGGACAGATCACCAGAATGGGCTACCGACGCTGGATGGAGGAATTCTTGCAAAGGATGATAGTGTTCATGTTCAGAAACAGGTGCATTCAGATGAGATATAATTTCCCAACAATCTTCAATCTGATGGATAAATAAATGTAAATGACACTAATCAGAACCACTACCAGAACTGATAAGAAAACAATTTCATTGACAGCAGCAACAAAAAGTATAAACTAAATACACACCTGCATATTCAATGAAGGTTGTTCCCCCATGATACAAGGTCCTGCTTGAAGAGGATCATACATAGCAGTGATAGCTTCGTTATTTAAGTATGAGATTGGATCAGGTATGTAAGTCAGATCCTGAAAATTGGGAAAATGAGCTGATGGATTCCAAGCAAATGGATCATTTAGCATGATGGTATCAGGGAGGTTACTAATCCCAGTAAAAAGAATATCATTCAGCTCCACATACTGTTCACTATCAAGTTCTGAAAGCATAGGATACAAGGCAGTTTCACTGGAAATGTTTTCAGGGTGATTGGTACTGCCAGAAATGATTGCCTGATCTGAGAGGTTTTCTAATTCATTATACATTCCTTCAGCATCCAGTGCAGAGGTTTCATTAACATTCATGTCGAGAATGGCTGAATCAGGCATCTGCAAGGAAACCGATAAAGATGATCACAAACAACGTATTTAATCATGCATTTGCATCAAAAGTTGCAAAAAAAAAAGGAAAATCAACCATGAATGCCGTGGCATTAGCATTCTCTACGCGCGGAGAGCTATTACAAACCTCTGCAAGCTCCTCCTGAAATATTCCATCAGCAACAAGAAGATCAGGATCAGAAGACACCTCAATGTGACTAGAAGCCGCAGGTTGCTGACTAACAGGTTCCAATTGTATTGTCTGATTATCTAATGGTAACTGACTTGGGCAAGACACACAAGGAAGAGGAAAAGGATTCTCAGTAGATGCTTCATCCTCCCAATCCTCTTCGTTAAATGGTGCACCATATTGCTCCCCGATTTTAGGACCTGCACCACTTTTTTGGAAGATCTTGCAGAGTACGAATGTGTCCTGTGATGTAAAATGAGAAAGATGAGTTTAATACTTGATAAAAAATGTAAAATAAGTATAACAGAATTATTAATAGAATGTTATTCTGCATTAGAATTTTGTTTGCATAGATTATGATAGAGAGATAGGGTTGTTTAAAAGAGATAGATAGAGTGGCGGAGGAGACAAATGAAAAGGGAGGAGAAATACATGCATGGGCAATACTGGACATGGAGAAGTGGCTAACCAACCTAGAAAAATCACAGCTATCAGAAACCTTATTCTCAAAAATTAATTCACTACCACGATGAGCAGATGCCCAATTATTTCCTACAGTACTCATAGTCCCTTTCTTATTAGAATACTTCCAAAAGTGAAAAAAAATGTCCATCAAGTATAAACAGAAATTATACCAAAACCAAAATAAGAAAAAAAATCAATCCAAAATGACATAGCAAGACTACAACAAAACCGGAGGCCATTAAACCGAAAATAACATAAATTGTATAAAAACAACCTAGAGACTGGAAACCCATAAAAATGACCAAAATAAAACTAAAATTTAGATTAATTAGTCTAAAACTCATATCAACTCTAACACAGTGTCACAGCCTTAGCTGGAATTGCCTAAGGCGTGAGGCACCCTTGCGGCAAAGACGCGAACTTAGCTTGCGTTGCCTAAGTCACGCTTCGCTCTTGCGATTTGCGTCCGCAAAGATCAGCCCACTTGCAACCTCTCGCAGGTCCCAAAGGACCTGTAAAAGAGAAAGTTGATTAGTTCGAATAACGAGCGACGGACAAGTCCCGACGTCTTGCGAAAAGGGGAAGCTTTACATGCAATTCAGCGAGCACCTTGCGTGCATAAGAGAAAAGAGGGAGAGAGGGAAAACAAGGACTTTAGAAGGTTAAACGAACAGCTGCAAGTTCACAAACAACTGCTTACTGAGTGCCGGGCGCGACAACAAGTTCCCGTCAAGGTAACATGCGAACTTGCGAAAGAGTGTTCAACACCCGACACTATACCGAAGCCCCATCCCCCATGGTGCCACCTGGGTGGTTCCAGAATGCTAAGATGGCTGACGTTTCTCGTGCAGCAGCGGGCTGCAGAAAACAGCCGATGGCACGGAAAAACGAAGCTGTTTTGGGACTATTTTGCTCGGTTCGATGAGCGGTCGCACTGTAATGCTGCAACTTGTTCGAACTTACATTTTTACAAGCAAAATGACTCAAAACCAAGACAAAACATGCTGCCAAGTAGCTGTAAATGTAGATGAGAGCGACGAATCGTTGAACGGAGTTGTTGTGGGTGCGCGACGACAGTTCGTGACATTCTCCCCCACTTAAACTGTCGACGCCCTCGTTGACGCTTGTTGGTAGTTGTTGATAATTGTTTCTTCATGTCGTAGGCCGTCTTCGGGCTCCCAACTTGCTTCAATTCGAGGAAGCTTTCGCCACTTCACCAAGTACTCGGTCTGCTCAGCTCCATTGGGTAGCTTTATCTTACGATCCGCTAAAATAGTTTCAACTCATTTCTCGTAGGAGACTGGTGGGGGGTAGTCGAGTTGGAACACTTGGGGAAGCATCTTGCGGATCCAAGTGGTAGGCTTTTAGGTTGCTAGCGTGAAGAACATTGTGATTTTTGAACCACGTCGGCAGTTGCAACTTGTAGGAGATGTTGCCCACCCTGCTGATAATTGGGAAGGGCCCTTCATACTTTCGCACTAATCCTTTGTGTACTTTGTTACTAAAGAATTGGAGTGATGCTGGTTGGAGCTTTACCAACACCAAATCGCCAACCTTGAACTCTTGCGGTCACCTTCCCAAGTCTGCCCACTTCTTCATCCTTTTTGTTGCCTTCTCCAAGTAAGCCCGCCCAATATCTGCATTTCGGTGCCACTCCTTTGCGAAGTGGTAGGCTGACGGACTACTCCCAGTATACCCGATTGCCATGGTGTGAGGAGTTGACGGTTGTTGTCCTGTAATGATCTCGAAGGGGCTCTTGTTGGACGTAGAGCTCCGCTGCAAGTTATAGGAGAATTGGGCAATGTCCAACAACTTCACATAATCTCGTTGGTTAGCACTCACGCAATGCTGAAGATATTGCTCTAGGAGCGAGTTTATCCTCTCGGTTTGGCAATCCGTCTAGGGGTGGAGACTTGTGGAGAAGTATAACTTGGACCCTAACAATTTGAATAGCTCGGTCCAGAATCGTCCTAGGAACCGAGCGTCTCGATCACTGATGATATTGTGCGGGGCTCCCCAATACTTCACCACATCCTTCATCATCAACTTGGTCGCTTCCTCTGCTGAACAGTGTAGGGGAGCAGCAATGAAAGTTGCATACTTTGAAAATCGATCGACCACCATGAGTATCGATCCGAGTCTCCCTACTAGTGGCAAGCTTGATATGAAGTCCAATGAAATGCTCTCCCACGGCCTTTTTGGTATGGGCAACGGCTCCAACAGTCCCACCGGCTTTCGCTGCTCCGCCTTGTCTTGTTGGCAAGTAAGGCACGTTCGAACATATTCCTCCACATCAGTCCCCATCTTTAGCTAGTAGAAGGCCCTCTCCACGAGAGCCAACGTTCTGTGAATGCCTAGGTGTCCAGCCCAAAGGGAATCATGACACTCTCTTAAGAGTTCACGCCTCAAATTATCCACTCGAGGAACATTAACCCTATTCCCTTTTGTGTAAACAAGTCCCTCCTGGACAAAATCGTCGTGCCTTGCCTTCTTTGATGAGCTGCATCAGGATAACTGCCTGGGGATCACTATACAGTCCATCCTTGATCCTGGAAAGGAAGTTGGAATGCAATTGACTTGCTTGGCCTCTGCCCTCTAATTGTACGGCATTCACACGCTCCACTTTCCGACTCAATGCATCGACCACGACATTTGCCTTTCCTGGCTTGTACTCCATTGCCATATCAAATTCAGCTAGGAAGTCCTGCCATCGTGCTTTCTTTGGGAAAAGTTTCTTCTAGTTTGGAAATAGCTCAGAGCGATGTTGTCTATCCTCAGCACAAATCGCGATCCGAGAAGGTAGTGTAGCCAAACTCGTAGACAATGGATCACCGCTGTCATCTTCTTCTCATGCACTGGATACCGCCGCTTGGTCTCGTTGAGCTTGCGGCTCTCGTAGGCCACCGGATGACCCTCCTGCATAAGTACTCTCCCAATAGCGAAGTGTGAAGCATCTGTATGGACTTCAAAGGGCTCCCTATTGTCCGGCAATTTAAGCACCGGTTCTTCCAAAACGACAACCTTCAGATCTTGGAA